TGAAAATATTTAATTTTTAAAGTAAAAATTTGATTTGCACATTTTAATTCGTGTGAAATCATTGCAAATTGAATGTCCTTTCAGGTAATTTTGATGCCCTGGAAGCGTTGGTGAGGTTCGTTTCGCCACCGAAAGTCGTTTTGACGAATTCATCGATTTGCATGTCAATTTTCTCGTGTCGAAAGTATAGCAATATGGGTGTCCTTTCCTACCAAAATTGGTATCCCGGACGCGTTGGCGCAGTCCATTTTGTCGTCGGAGGTCATCCGGAGAAGTTCGCATTTTCACCCGTCCCTTGGGCTTAATTGAAGTCCGATTTCGTGCAATTTCGTGAATTTTGTGCCTTTGATGTGTTCCTAAGGCTTGAAGTCGTATTTGGAACATTTCCCTTGAATCTTCGTAAAATAGCTCATAACCGGTCGTTTATAAGACGATGGTCTTGTGTCAAAGATGATAGACCTCAAAGGAAAATAAGAATTGGCTAGAATTTCTAGAAGGGTGAGTGTCACTTTGAGTCTCAATTCTAGTTTTCTAAGACGGTCAATAGGAATTCCTAGAGCTAGATCCTAAGCTCTAAGGAGAAGAAGAGAAGACCTCACAAAAATGAGGTCAACACTCGCACAACCACCCTGTCTCCCAAAACCACCCTCTGTCTCCCTTTATCCCTTCCGCACCCCCAAACCTACCCCTCCCCTCTCTCCACAACCTTCCCGTTTGTCTCCCTTTCTCCCTTCCGCAAACCCAAGCATTCCCCCACCCTCCTCTCTGATACAGAACTTTTTATTACAATGCTTTTTTCAAGCAGAAAACAAGTAAAATTGCTCTACCAAAAATATATCAAAAGCTCATTTTAGAATGTTTTCTACAAATATTTATTGTATAGAAATTACTCATTGTATATGTTTAAAGGACCAGTTTGGTACCTTCTCTCTGTGATTACTTGGAAACTGAAATGTTACATGCAATTCCCATGAGTTAACACCATGATATTTTATTAAAATGCTTTTAACAAAAATAAGGAAAACACAATTTAATTTTTTATTAGAATGCTGAATGCTTGCTTTAAGAAAAAACGTAAAATATAACTTTCCCCAACACCACAACCCCTACTAAGCAGGCCAAATATATCACCACAATTTAAATTTTAATTTAAGGTTTTGAGCAAGAAGCAAGAAAACAAAACTTAAACCTTAAAAGGTAGTTCCTCCCTCGATATGCAACTACAAAAAAAAATGGGAACAGTCTAACAGAAAACTACCATGCGCCATGGGAAGACTAATCATTCATTTAACTAACCTCCATTAAATTGCTCAAGCAAGAAGAAGAAAAAAAAAATCGCTTCAATACTATATTGCAAACACATGTTACAATGATTTTCCAACAATAGCTAACATTTATGTGGAAAAAAAAACAAAAATTATAACAATTAAAACAATGGACAACAAAACCGTATAAGGTGCCCTGGGCAAAAAAAAAACAACAATTTTTAAAATACAAGATAAAGAATCCGGAAGTTCAGTCAACATCATGAATGACTTGAAATGGTTTATTTTTCCAAAGAGGTTCATCCCCAAAGTAACCTTCAACCTAACACGGTATTAAAATAACATAGAATACTTCAAAGTAGCAAAACCTTAACAGCTATAAAAGGTCATCATATAAAAGGATATGATGGACCCCAAACAAGATTTACGAATATTATAACAAAACACAAATTTTGTAGATAATTATTTTGCTTCAAGATATATATAGTACTTGAAACTGGAATGGGAATGGTACTAACCATAGATTCTTCATCGCCCTCACCAAATCGAAGAGCAAGATCACAAAGTGCTTGGGTGGTGGATTCAACGCTCATGGCTTCACCATAGGAAAACCTGTGATTCTAACCAAAAAAAGAAAGATACCGAATAAAAAGTACAGTAAATGGCACATACATATGAAGGCAAACTGCTAGTGCCCAATTTCCATTAAAATTTCACCTGAGTTTCAACTCGTGCATGTTCAACTAGTGTGCGGGCATCAGCTATCAAACCGCTCATAGCACATCCAATGTGCTCGTCGATCTCCATTATTTTCTCCACACTGCTTGGCTCCTGAAAGTGATGGTGCTCGATCAGAAATATTTCAGCAAGGTCAAATATAAGAAAACAGAAATAAAATTTGCATCGGGTCATTTGACCATAACCAGTACACCAACGTTTGTGAAATAGATGAACAAGAAGAAAATAGAAGCCCCTAGCAACTATTGTACATAACTTTGAAAAGGTAATCTATAAAGAGTAAACTTGGAAGATCAACAAAAAAACAATGTTTATATAAGTTGTCCTTTACCAAAATGTTCTCAATTTTTTGGTCCTGATGTTTCTTAATGAAGCTTGGTTACATTGGTCGACCACTTTAAACTCCCATGAAGCCAAGTTGCCACATTTTCAAAGGAGCTTTCAGCGAGCATTAAGGGTTAAAGAAGAATGAAAATTTTAGCACAAAAATATGATTCATGCATCCATATTATGGCAAAGAATCTAATCTTCATGCGAGACTGCAGAAGATGACAGTTAGAGACCTATATAACTGCCATATGGTCTCTAATAAAAGTTTGTATTGAATCTCAAGCACATAATAAAAGTTGGGTTAGTAGAGCAAAAGGTGATTTTAATACAAGTTATGATTATGATGCAATGTCAAGCCAATCCCCAAAGGCATGCAGTGTCCAGCATATATGAATTAGACATAATCAAAACATGCACTGCATTAAAAATATATCAGAAATTAAAAAAATATTAAAGAACACTTTGACATGCATACCAAAGGACAGAAAATTTAGCATTTTTGGATTATTTTTAGAGGATTTGAACCATTTTCCTCAGAGAGCAAAGAGCGATGCTACTTGAGATACTATTGCTACTAATAGAAATTTTACCTTACAACTGATTTTGGACATTTGAACTTTTGCTGAATTTCTTTTTATTTGTGAAATAATAGTGGTTGTTAGCTATGATTTGTGAGTTATGACATAAGGAGAGCTATGACTTCACTCCTACTATTAGTTACATTTTATTAAAAAATCTATTAAAATTGTAAAAAATTTATTTCCTTAATTTTTAATGTTTGCAAAATATAAAAGTTATTAAATTTCAATTTCAATTTCAATCCATTTTCATATACACATATTTCACTAATTATTGTCATGTATTCTCATCATGAGGTGCTTAAATGTCAAGTTCATTTCAATCCATCTAATACAATATATAATATAACTAAAGGAGGACATATACAATGCATGTAGCTCCTACCAATGGAAAGCCTAAGAGGAGGCTAATGCACGCAACCTTACCTCTGCATTGTAGTGAGGTTGTTTTGTGATTCACATCCATGACCTCCATGTCACAAAAAACTAACCATTGCTTAAGGTTTACCGTCTACATGAAGTCAAAACATAGTGTATAAAGACCCTAAAACAAAACGGAATAATAATGAGCATGGCATAAGCACAAATGCCTTGATAATATACATAATGCCCTCACTTACTTCTGACCAATATGTTGTTACAGCGTGTGAAGCCAAAGCATTTAAGCAGCATTTAAGCGTCCCATAAGAGCACGACTACAGTGGAGTCGGTGCCTAAGCGCCGGCTTTGGGCGCATATGCACCCACTATAAAGCAAACGCTGTTTTTTTCTCGAGAGACCGGCACCTATAGCGGGTGTTGTTCTTTTTCCCAAGAGACCGGCGTCTGGTGCTTAGGCGCCCTTTTTTGGGTGTCGATACAAAGCGCTTGGCGCATAGGCACCAAGTTTGGGCGCACGAAAAATTTATTTTTAAGCCAATTTTGAGCAAGTTTCTGGAAACTTGTTGTTTCTTCTGAATTCTTCAACGAGCATCCCGGTGAAGGTAAGGAGTGTCGAAGAGGTGGATTTTGGTGCTTCGGCGTGATTTTTTAGTCTGATTGGAAATGGAAGATTGTTAGTGCAAGTTTTGTAAGTTTCTTAGTGTGAGTGTGGAGAAGAAACTTATGTGAGTCCATTGTAAAACTTTCTGAATTATAAAGTGAAATTTGTGGTGGTGTGGTTCCATGATTTTTTCCCGTTTTCAGGTCTTTTCAATTAAAATTCTTGTTTGTTTTTCTAGTTGTTTTGATTGTGCTTAAATTTTTTTGTTCCGGTTTTTTTCGAATCCTGTGACCTATTCCGCGGTGAAATTAGAAGATGACTCTTTCGAAATAGTTCCCTTAAGAAACTGTTATCATAGCGGGGTTTGATTCATGTGAGAACAATGACCGAAGAAGCAAGTTTCAGAGTGGAGAAGTTCAATGGGACGAAATTTGTTTTCAAGAAGATGCAGGTGAAAGATTTGTTGTATCAGAAAAAATCATATTTGCCACAACAAAGAATCATAAGGAAGCATGAGTATATGCCTATGGAGGAATGGAAAGTGTTGGATCGAACGACACTAGATTATATCAGGTTGACACTCAACATTTTGAATGAGAAAACTATCGTCGATCTCAAGTCGGCATTGGCCAAAATGTATAAAAAGCATTATGCTTCCAATAAGGATTTCTTATGAAAAAGTTGTTCAACATGAAGATGGCAGAAGACATTCAGTTGCAGAGCATCTCAATAGCTTCAACACTATGACGAGACAGTTGTGTTTTGTATGGATCAAGCTTGATAATGAAATCAGAGCACTAGTGATACTATCTTCATTGTCGAATAAATGGAATGGCTTGATAACGACAATAAGTAATTCTTCAGGAACTTCGAAGTAAATCTTCGATGATATCGTTGGTCTGATGTTGAATGAAGAAGTTCATAGAAAAGTAAATAATGCTAAATCTTTAGGTTCCGCGTTGAATGTTGATAACGAGGGAAAGAATCTAGACAAGAATACAGGCAAATACAAATCCAATTCCAAGAAAGGAAAAACCAAGTCAAGTACAGGAGAATGTTGGAACTACGGTAAGAAAAACCATTTTAAGAAGGATTGCAAAGCTCCGAGGAAAACAGGTGGTAGAGGACAGGAAAGTATTCTTTCTACTAATGCTTCCATATGTGAAATCCAAAGTTACTTCCTAGTCAGTACTAAATCCTGGATAGTGGATTCAGGTGCTCTTTCATGATTGTCCCAATAAAGAATTATTTAAAAACTACACTCAGAGTGATCTGTGGAAGGTTTATCTGGGAGAAAACAAAGATTGCAGTATAGTTGGAAAGGGTGATGTTGATATCAAGATGTTGTATGGAGCGGTCTAGAAGCTTACTGAAGTCAGATATATTCCTAGTATGAAGGGAAATCTTATTTTTGTGAGCCAGCTAGCAAAGTCAGGATTCGTGACTACTTTCAAGATGATTTGTGGAAGGAGAACATGGGGAAATTGGTGATGGCTCGAGGAAACATTGAAGGAATCTGATCAATGAAATGGTTGATTTCATTGATGTGGCTAGAAACAAGGTGGATGCAGGTCTGTGGCACCGTAGGCTTTGATATATGAACGAGAAATGTGTGAAGTCCCTACATTCAAAGAATAAGCTTCAGGGTCTGAAATCAGTTGATATGGATTTCTGTGAAGGTTGTATTTATAGCAAGCAGAAAGTTTCTTTTCCAAGAGCGGGTCAATAGTGAAATTAAAGAAACTTGAGTTAGTGCGTACTGACATATGGGGTCCTACTCCAGTTCAATCCATCGGAGATTCTCGTTATTTTCACACATTCATTGATGAATACATGAGAAAGAGATGGGTTTGTTTTATAAAGCAGAAATCTGATGTATTTGAAGTCTTTAAGAAATGGAAGGCTATGGTAGAAAATGCTATGGTAGAAAATGAGAATGAGACAGGCTTGAAGCTGAAGTGTCTCAGATTAAATAAAGGGGGTGAAAACCATGATTTTTATTGCAAAGGGGGGCAGGCATGAGTTCACTGTCCCAAGGACAATACTGCAGAACGGTGTAGTTGAGTGCATGAACAGAACAATCACCGAGTGCTAGGAGCATGAGACTCCATGCAGGCTTCTCAAAACAGTTTTGGGCTGAAGCAGTAAACACTGCAGTTTACCCGATCAACCGTAGTCCATCGACACCTTTGGAGGAAGGCTTACCTGATGAAAACTGGAGTGACAAAAAATGCATGCCAGTCTCATTTAAGAGTATTTAGGTATTCTACATGTGTGTATGTTGATGCAGGGTGTCCAGGACCAAGCTTGGCTCAATATTTGTCAAGTGCACATTCATTTGATATGTGAGTTTGAGTACAAGTTCTGGGATTATCAGCATTTGAAATTCATGAGAACAGGGATGTCACTTTCAATGAAATGTAGATGAACAAGGATATGATCAAAACTCAGGAGGAATGAGTGGATTACATAAAGATCTTCTCCCCGGTGGTGAAGATGACGACTGTCAAGATTATGTTGAATCTAGTAGCAGAGGAAGAACTACATATGGAGCAGATTGATGTAAAAACAACTTTCTTATATGAAAATATTGGAGAAAGACATTGTGCAACCACAAGGTTATAAGGTTCCAAGAAAGAAAAGTTTGATCTGCAGATTCAAGAAAAGCATCTATGGCTTGAAGCAGGTCACGAGACAGTGATACAAGAGATTTGACAAGTTAATATCAAACAATGGGCATATGAAGTGTCAGGCAGACTACCGTTGCTTCATCAAACACTCCAGTAAATATTATTTTCTGCTTATTTTATATGCGGATGACATGATGATTGCAGAGGCGGATATGAAGAAAATCGGGAAGTTGAAGAACACTTATCAAATAAGTTCAAGATGGACTTAGGTCCAGCTAGGAAGATCCTAGGGATGAGAATCAGCAGGGTCAGGAGTGCAGAAACACAAAAGTTGTCTCAAGTAAAATATGTTGAAAAAATCCTACAAAAGTTCAACATAAGGGAGGCGAACCCAGTTAGCACTCCCTTATGTAATCAGTTCAAACTATATAAGAAGCTATCGCCAAACTCTAAAGCAGAGCAAGCACAGATGGAAAAACTCTGTATGCTTCAGCAATTAGAATTTTGACGTATGCGATGATTTGTATCAGGTTGGATATTGCATATGAAGTGGGAGTAGACAGCAAATACATAG